GCTTGTTTGCGAGTGGTACCAGCGAACCATTGGTTACTCGCGGACGCTGATTTAGCTAGCCGACCTAACTTTACCCGTCACCATGGCCTTGGTCGTCTGTCGATGCCTCACTCTTTACCACTACAGGCCTCCATCTTCTATAGTAGGAGGGCCATTTTTGAGAACATCTAACATTTTGAAAACCTTTTTCTTCCAACTAGGCATGTCCATCCACTGCAGGATGTAAGCCCCCCCCCCTCTACTAAAACCTCCACTCTGTTCTGTCGTTTGTTCTCTATATCCAGCTTGTACCAGTTTGCTCGCGGGCGTCATCTTGCTACCTTCTTTCTGGTCTTCCTCTTGACTCTGAAAACCTAGGATATTGTAATAACTTTTCTTTACAAAAAAAATGGACGTTTGGACAATTTGTTTCTTTCTGTGTTATTCATATCTGTCACACCAATGTGCCAGGATCTGGACAATAAAGATGTATCTTATCATATCTTATCTTATTTATTCAAACCTAAAAACTGAAATTTCCACAGGGTATCACCCGGCTCTTCTTGACCAGGATCCCCTTTTTCAGAGAAGTGATTGTTGCGTCTTTTTCCTGCGATCATTGTGGCTACAGAAATGCCGAGCTTCAGCCCGGTGGAAGGATCCAGGATCGCGGTGTGTCGTTCAAACTGAATATCCAGACTGTTGAGGTGAGTTGTTAGCTCTGTTGTTAGATCGGTTGTTATCTTTGCTTGGCTGACCGACATTATTCGAATCCCCAGCACAGCCATTAAACCTGGCTGGTTCCGGGAGCTTTCAAGGTTTTTTTAACCACCTATCTTGGTATCAGTAGAAGTCTACACTCAGTTTGTAATTGTTATTGATCCATTTGTGAGGCATCATGATGAAATGAGGTGCTTGTCAAAATGATGAAATAAAAAAAAAAATCAGCATTTTTCTGGTTGCTCGGGAATTTTTTTCGATTATAAAAAAATGTGCTCAACTCCTTTTATGTCCATTGAAAAACACATTTCTGTGTGGATAGTACCGAAAAATGCCCATTAAAGGCGCGAAAAATGTAACTTTCCAGTTTCCAAGGACACTCAAACTTTGGAAGTCACCAAACTTTGGCAGCCATTTTCTCGCTAATTTTACCTGTCATAACAGGCGACCCTCACCTCCTTCAATCGCAAATATCTCTATTTCTATTCAAGATGGGTATTTTTTTGCGCCAAATGCAAGACAAATGAACAAGCCTTAAGATGATATTAATGTCTGTTTTCTATGTGCCCAAATATTGACGAGTGCCTGATTCCAACACGTTGTGACACGTATATACATGAGGCAGAGTGGTGGAATCAGGCTCTCGTCAAAAAATGAAATCGAAGAAAACAGCAGTTTTCTCCCTGCATAGCAATTTTTATCAAATTTTTGTTTTATGGCTCAACACCTTTTATGTCCATTTACAAACGCATTCCTTTGAGGACTTCACCGAAAACGTTGATTAAAGGCACAAAAATATAAATTTACAGTTTCCATGGACTCTCCAGCTTTGGAATTTACCAAGCTTTGGCTGCCATTTTCTCGCTAATTTTACCTCTTAAACCAGGTGACTCCCACCTCCTTCAATCCAAAATATCTCCACTTCTATTGAAGATGGATGGGTAATGCTTTCATTGAAAGCAAGACAAATGAACAAGCTTTAAGATGATACCAATAACTCAATATATGCCTAAAAATTGACGAGAGCCCGATTCCACCACATCGTGACACATATACTTGTATTTTACAAGTAGGGTAACTCTGTTCGCAAAGGGTGCGCATTTGCGAAGAGGGCGCCACCGAATTTGGAGGACACTTTTTTAATTGGCTCACAGAGAGGAGTGGACCCTCTTGTTATGTAGACTTTTTGAATTAAGTTAATTAACAAACCTGGCGGATTTTCTAAAATTACAGAGACAGAAGCGTCGGCCTCCAAAAGCGATCGTCGAAATAAAGAAATTTAGCTTTTTGCAACAAAACCGTCTCAAAACTGAAAAAACAAAGCGCGTCATGATCTGGAGAATATTTTAAAGAATCTTTTGGCGAAAACCGCATGTTGATCGATGCAGCCATTAGAAAGCCTTTTGAATAGCAAAATTCAGCCACCACAAATAGATAATAGATATGTATTGTTTCAGCAACTAGTTGTAAAGATGTTCTGTGGGTGTGTCATTAGTACCTTAACTCATTCAATGCTGAGCGCTCCAGCAGAGAACTCCCCTCATATACTGGGCAGTTTTGTTGTCATGGCAACATGAAATTAGGTCTTCCTGGGAAATTCAATCAGAACTAGCGGGCTCAATGGCTGTTTGAGCAGAAAAAAACACAGAAAAAAAAAATCTCCTTGACCTTTCCTTAAATGCATCATGATTAGTTCAAATAGCTTGGTATGGATTAGATAGAGTAATTCTTTCTATAAAGATAGAGAGGAAGAATTCGAGAATACTCATGGCTAGTATGTAGGTGGGGCCCAAGTTTTGTGAGTATTCTCGTCCATAGCTCTGAATGATTCAAGTAAAATTGTCCAGTGACTATATTTCATACCCAAATCAGATTCCTCTGTGTGAGGTGCAGAATTACTCCATTGGTCGAACTACTTGCCATCTCATACATTTATGATTTTTGCTTACCTGATTTTGAATTAAAAATTTTGCTGCTGTACTGAAAAACTGATTCTGTTTTTTGTTTTTTCCTCTCAGGATCTGAACCGTCAAGTTGTGCAGACAGCCCACGCCACTGTGAAGATTCCGTCCATTGAGTTTGAAATTCCTCCTTCTAAGTCAGGTCAGTAAAGTTGATGAACGGCATGCAGGTAATAATAATAATGAATAGCATTTGTAACACATATCCCCGCTTGACCGCAAGCTTTATGTACTTTACTCTATGTTTTTACCCCAGCAGACCATGAAACACTCAGAAACATTCTTGGCTTCCCGGGAAGCGTACGGTGCTAGCAAGTGATTAAGGGCTCAAACACTAACAAACTGACAAATTCTTTCGCTCTCTAGCTGGGTACCCATTCTTACCAGGGTAAAGGGAGTGAAATTCCTGTAAAGTGCCTTTCCCAGAACACATTTTTTAAATCTGCTACATCGTTGACTATATAAATATTTTACAATGGCTTTTTTCCCGTTATAATAAGTGTATGTCGTAAATACATTTTTGATTTTGTTTTTGTCATGTTAGAATTCTTTTTTGTTTTCTTAAAGATTGTTCTACTTGTTATTATTACCTTGTACTTGTAAAAAATTGATACTATAATGAAGTTATAAATCTCTCTTTGATCTAGATGTTTTACTCTTTTATTGTTTTTGCCCTCAGCGCTGACCACCATCGAGGGTGTGATTGACCGGGCTGTGGAAGGTCTGGAGCAGGACCAGGTGTTGCGACGGGTCAGTATCTCAGTCCAGGGTCAGGCTGTGACACATTCTAAGAAAGGAATGAGGACAAGAAAACAGTATTTATCACAGACCTGCCAAGCACTTGCAAAATTTCACTTTTTTATTTGTGTATATTTGCAATACACCTGTTTATTTGCTGTGGTGGATTTGTAATATGAACTGAATCTACTGGGGTTCTGGAGCCTCCCTATTTTTTCCCCAATCTTTGATTTTAGGGAAGATTCTGAGGAAAACTGCCAATTTTTTATTCTGAAGGGGTGGGCAGGTCTGTTATATCAGTCCAGGTTCTGACACATTGTAAGAGAGGAATGAAAGTAGTGTCGGTAGTCTAGTCGTTAGGCTACCGGACTTATAATCATGAAGTTGCAGGCTTGGGGGTAAAAAAAACTCGGGACCGACTTTGTGTCCTTAGGAAAGGCACTTCACACTAATTTTCCTCACTTCACAGAGGTGGGAATGGGTACGAGGCCATAGACAGTGAAAGATGCAAAGCTGCCACTTTTTCGCTTAATAGCGGAAACTCCGCGACCTCTGCTTCCGCTACATTCCTCCTTCCTCCGCTGGACCACTCTTGGTAGCAAATTGCGATACTTATTTTACACGTGGAAAACACTGAAATGGGAGTGAGATGAAAACGTGGCTTGCGCATGTCAGCCCATAGCTTCCTATATCCATTTTGTGTCTAGAGCTAACGTTTCACACTCTTTACTGTGGATTGTGGGGCGAAAGTGTCGACTGTCGGTTTAGCATTTGGACAATGACGTGCCGAGCTGTCATTGAAAATGGCGGAAATTTGAGAGAAATTGTGGCAGAATACAAAAATAAATCGAGCTGGACTGAGAAAGAAGCAGACAGTGTGCAACTGCAACAGTTCATTGGAAAATTGAGTAAGTCGGGTGCTGCAATTTATGTTTGATGCGATATAGAAATCTTGTACAGTGGCAAAGGTGTTGCCTCCTTAATCCAATACAGCTCTACATCGTTGCACAAATCGAAAGTGAAAGAAATTTTTTTTATGAGACACTAGCTGGCAACAAACACTGGATTTTTAGTCACCAAACTGGGTCAAATGCTTGTTAGTGTCTTGTTTTTTTGTTTTTTTTTCAAATACATTTTCATTCTGTATGTGTTTTGTGTACAGTATGTTGAAAGCAGTCTGTAAGGTGATGAGCTCTATTGTGTTACATCTGTCTCGTCTTGTATTTTGCAGATCCAGTACCCTGATGTGGCAGCCCAGATTGACGCCTTCATAGAAAAGCTGAAGGGTTTGAAGGCTGTGCAGCAACCATTCCATTTTGTGAGTGTTTTGTGGAGAGTTTTTCTCTTGTTTATTAATATATGTGAGGCAGCGTGGTGGAATCAGGCTCTCGTCAATTTTTGGGCACATCGAGTTATTGGTATCATCTTAAAGCTTGTTCACTGGTCTTTATTTGCATGAAAAAAAATATCCGCTTATCTTAAATACAAGTCGAGATATTTGAGAATGAAGGAGGTGGGGGCCACCTGTTTTCAGAGGTAAAATTAGTGAGAAAATGGCCGCCAAAGATAACTTATTTCCTCAGCTTAAGAGTCCGTGGTAACTGAAAATTTACATCTTTTGTGCCTTTAATCAACGTTTTTCAGAAAATCCACACTGGAATGAGTTCTTTAAAGGGCATTAAAGGTGTTGAGCCCAAAAACAACAATTTGATTAAAATTCACAAATCCGCAGAAAAATGCAAATTTCTTCACTTTGATCATTTTGACGAGAGCCTGATTCCACCACGATGCCTCACATATAGTGTTCCAAACACAGTCCGAATCGTCCAAGGTGGCCTTCCATTGTTGAGGAGAAAAGTGGCCGTCTTACACGGGGTCATTATTAGTACGCTTTAGTAAGAGTTTTACGGCACTCGCAACTGCATACTGTCATATGAGCACAAGGGTCATTATAGTGTAAAAAGTCAGATGCTGGAGGGGAATAGTAAGTGCCTGTTTGTACAGGGGATTTTTTAAATACCGTTTGAGAAGGTTTGACTGTATGTGATTTTGTAGTCTGCTTGTTCCTGTTGGTAAAAGTTCTTTTCGTCTTTGTCTGTGTCACATTGTGACTGGGTGCAAAGCTGGGACTAATGCCAACTTACGTCTTAGCTGAATCTAATAAGCACATAAAGCACATGCACGAAATAATTCTGTGTGCCTGATTTTTAAACTTTCTAAATATGTATATTTTAAATTCAAAATGAGGATGGGATCGACCAGTTTCCTAGCCATATGACAAGTGAGAAGACACACCTGTGTAAAGTGACTTTCCCCAAGGATGTAACTGTGGGTGATTGGAGGGTACTCTGGTGTGGTCTGCTCCTTCTTTCCTATCAAACATCTGTCGTCTTTATCTCCCCTCATTCTTTTTTGTGTTTGTTACTCCCTTGTAACACCTCTAATCTTCGGCACTTATATGACCATATTGTGTTGCAAGTGCCGTAAAACTCTTTCGGGAAAAAAAAAAAGGACGTAACTGTGGGCCCCATAAAGGATTTGATCCCATGACCTTTTGATTGTCAGCCCGACAGCCTAACCACTAGACCACTGATACCAGAAGTTGATAACATTACCTCCTAACAGTAGTATGGTAGAATAAATTGTGGTTTATTTTTTTAACTCTTTGCTTCCTGCTCTGTCTTCCTAGTAAAGTAATGCCTGTGCAACATGAACTTTCATTTGAAAGCAAAGTGTCGAGCATTCTGCTTGGGGGGCTCCAGTGGCTAAGTGAGTAGTGAGTTTTGACTCAAGCAATGTCAAGCAAGTGTCAGTGACACGGGGATTAGATGGGTGGTCACTGGGGTGTGCCCTTAAGCAAAACATGACAACCCTAGCTAAAAATACAGGGCGCTGCACAGTGGCGACCGACAGTGGCATTGTTTGTAAACTGTTCTGTATTTGTGTAATAGTGTGTATTTATGTATGTATTTATGCATGTATGTATTTATGTATGTACGTATTTATATTATTATTTATGTATGTATGTTTGCCATTGTAAAACAAAGTGCCCTTCTGGGACAAATAAAAGTATAATTTATTATTATTATTATTATTTATATTGTCATCAAATCAACTTACTATTATTTTTTTCTAATCAGCTGTTTTTCAACTATTTTTTCAGGTCATCGATGATCCGTCAGGAAATAGCTTTGTGGAGAATCCATATCCTTTTTGTGACTTTGTGACCCTTCCCTGCACTGGTATCTGGTGTGATGGTTTAATTTTACATACGCTCTTGTTAAATCTTACTAGTATTCTCTTGTTAAACACAAACTAAGAAATGCAAAATCCTCACACACTCTTCTCCGAGATGTTTAGATTTTTGCATCATGTCTCTCTCTCCCCCCGCGCGTCCACGTGTAATAGTTTGATGAGAGAGGGTTTACCGTAAAGTAACTTACTGTAAAACTCTCTGGTGTGATGGTGGGATCAGAGAGGGTTTACCGTAAAGTAACTTACTGTAAAACTCTCTGGTGTGATAGTGGGATCAGAGAGGGTTTACCGTAAAGTAACTATTACTGTAAGACTCTCTGATGTGATTGTGGGATCAGAGAGGGTTTACCGTAAAGTAACTATTACTGTAAGTCTGTCTGGTGTGATGGTGTGATGGGGGAGGTAGTGAAGAGAGCGAACACATCAGACACACCAGTGTTGATCTCCCAGGGATGTTCATTAGGACCACACAGCCCACGTACATCCGCCTAAAACTAAGTTGAGTAAATGTGGGAACATTGAGCTTTCAGTCCATTTATTTAAGATAAGATAAACTAAATTGATCCGTGGGGGAAATTTTGGGTGGATATACTTCATGAATACATATAGTGGGTAGTTATGTGAGACGGGCAGGAGACTACATTGATTCCAGTATCGGCAAAAATGCTATTTTAATAACGTTCACCAGTGAATCCATCTCTGTGCCGATGAGGAGCCACTGAGGACTGATTAGTTACGTTAACTTAGAGTAAAGGCGCTAAATCATGCAAATAGTGACACCATGTGTCATTTATCTTGCACGTCTTTTTGAACCCTCCTTCACGGTCATTGTGCCTCTAGATAGTAAATGAATAAACAGAACAAAACGCTGCCTCAAAATTAGTTTTATCTGCTCGGTACTATACAGCGACAAAGCACAGCTGATTAAAACCTGCAAATTCTTTGCCATATCAACAAACCGAAGAGCTACAACCCAAATGGCTGCTGGATCGGAAAAGTAAAGTAAAAGTAAAGTAAGTATCTGCTCGGTACCTAGTTTTGAGAAATGTGACGTCAAAGATTTTTGAGTTTCACATCATGTCAGGCTTTCACGAACGCAATTCTTTGAATATCTTGATAACGACTCCGAATACTCTTACGATTTTGATAGAGCAGATAGTACATTTGTGAGGCAGCGTGGTGGAATCAGACTCTCGTCAATTTTGGGGCATGTAGAGTTATTGGTATCATCTCAAAGCTTGTTCACCTGTCTTTATTTGGATGAAAAAGCATCCATTTATCTTGAATACAAGTCGAGATATTTGCGAATGAAGGAGGTGGGGGTCACCTGTTTTCAGAGGTAAAATTAGTGAGAAAATGGCCGCCAAAGATTAGTTATTTCCTTAGCTTAAGAGTCCGTGGTAACTGAAAATTTACATTTTTTGTGCCTTTAATCAGCGTAAAAAAAAAAAATCCACGCAGAAATGAGTTCTTTAATGCGCTTGAAAGGTGTTGAGCCAAAAAACAAAAATTTGATAAAAATTCACAAACCAGCAGAAAAATGCAAGACTCTTCACTTTGATTATTTTGACGAGAGCCTGATTCCACCACGCTGCCTCACATTTGGTTTCTGACCTCATGGTCGTGCTGACTCAAAACGGCCAAAAAATGTCAGATAGAACGTTGTAATTCTGAGGTAGCCAAATGTACTGGTTCTTTTTGTTTAGTTTTAGTTTTAGTAAGTGTTTTACGGCACTTGCAACACAATAAGGTCATATAAGTGCCGAAGATTAGAGGTGTTACAAGAGAGTAACAAACACAAAAAAGAAGAAGGGGGAGATAAGGACAATAGATGTTTGATAGGAAAGAAGGAGCAAAACACACCAGAGCACCCGCCAACCACCCACTGGTTCTTTTTGCTCAACAATCCAATAAGTAAATATAAATCAGTAAGAACAGACTGAAATACCTAAGTCACAGTGTCCCAGTGCCACACTGACATCATGTTGTTGACTGGATATAATGTACCTACATGCGTGCGTGCCACGCGTGTGTGTATATATTATATTATTTATATATAATAACGTTATATATAATATATAAATGGAGCATACACTGTCATTGTTATGTAACATGCCCCTGGAGAATGGATGAGCCCCTCGGTCTGGAAAATTGAGAAGCCGGGTTGGCAGTCACCCTGGGAACAGTTTTTGTTGGAAAATCGAAACTATGATTATTATGGTTCCTTTCAGACAAGTGTAGGCCTTCGAAAATAGGCTTTCGTCATGAATTTTTTGACCGAATCTCCTTGAATTTAAAAAAATGTTCTCCTTGAAACCTCCTTGAATTTGATGGGAAGTTCATGGCAGGAACCCTGTAGAACAGTGAATGGTTTCCTTAACTAACTTGCTCACGCTGGCACCGAACCGAGACCTTCAGCTTGTGGTGGCTCACTACGCCCGCACCAAGCAGCAGGACGAGGCTCTGGGACTGTCGGAGGAGGAGGAGGAGTCGACCTCGGAGGCTGGTGGCGCCACCGTGGGTCAGGACGACGGGGAGGGGCTCAACACACAGAACGAGGTGGGTGTGTGTGTGTGGGTAGGAGGGTGGGTGGGTATGTATGTGGTGGTGGGTAGGGGTAGGAGGGTGAGTGTGTATGTGTGTAGTGGTGGGTAGGAGGGTGGGTGTGTATGTGTGTGGTGGTGGGTAGGAGGGTGGGTGTGTATGTGTGTGGTGGTGGGTAGGGTAGGGTAGGAGGGTGGATGTGTATGTGTGTGGTGGTGGGTAGGAGGGTGGGTGTGTATGTGTGTGGGGTTGGATAGGAGGGTGGGTGTGTATGTGTGGGTGGTAGATAGGAGGGTGGGTGTGTATGTTGTGTGTGTGGGTGGGTGTATGTCTTTGTGTGTGTGTGTGTGTTTATTTGTTTGTGCTTGTGCATTTGTCTGTGTGCTGTTGTGTTTATGTTTTTTGCCTGTCCTATATGTCTCCGTTATATCATTATATGTTTGTGTGTATAATTATGTGCATTTGTCTGTGTGATACTGTGCTTATGTTTGTGTGTGGGTGTGTTTATGTGACTTGCTGAAATGAATGACCGGTAACGTTTCTCTGTCCCCCAGATTCTTCAGTTCAGGACCAACTGCCCAGAATGTGGTGCTCCGTGTGACACCAACATGAAAGTTGTCAGTATCCTTGAGCCCATTGAGCTGTCTGGTGCAGTAAAACATTATTTGGTGGACGGCTTGTAGATAGTAGTCGGACTTGTTTATAGCAGCCACCTGCCCAAAATAATTAGCTGTACGAACAACCGCTCCCCGCCCCCTTTAATTTTTTCTGTATATTATTAATTAATTTAATGACACTGTCCAAGAGAAGCACTTGTCTAAGATGACCACTTTCTCCTCGACTATGGCTGGTTGATTTGGAAAGGTTCGACTGTGTTAATCTGGTTCAAGTCTTGACAAGGATGAGCCAAACCAGTATTGGGATGAAAGTTTTGTGTTTGTATTTGTATTACCTGTGAGCAGAGTACTCTTTCTTACATTGTTTCTTTTAGCACAAATTTCTTGACAAAAAAATCCTTATAAGATAAACCTACTCTTTAATTATTAAAAATTTATATGAAAGTTGTTTTTGACTGAAATTATACATCTACACCAAATTTTTAATATTTTAACATTTTAAGATTAAATAGCCCATACCCAGCCGTGCAGTGAACTGTGAGTAAAAAAACCAACTTGTGTTTCGCACGCTCATATGACCTTATGCAGTTGCGAGCGCCGTAAAACCCCATACTAAACTAAAAATCTACTCTGTGGCCTATGTCTTTAACCCTTGAGCCCTCACCTCCTGAGGCCTCCGTGCCCCTCTGCTTGACCTCCTGAGCGATATATTCATCATCATCATCATTGCCTTTCACCCCTGGCAGGGTATAGGCCACATACAAGCTCCTTCCATTTATCTCTGTCCTGAGCCATCCTTCCAAGCTCGTTCCAAGTGAGCTTCATTTCTCTCATGTCCCTTTCCACGCATCTCCTCCATCTTTCCCGTGGCCTACCCCTGCTTCGTGTTCCTTGTGGGTTCCATCGCAGTGACTGTCTTGTGATGTTTCCGCTGGGCTTTCTTAAGGTGTGTCCCATCCATCGCCACTTTCTTAGTCCTATTTGAGCGATATATAACTAACATTCATATGATCATCAAATCACTTTCCATATCCCACTCAGGATAATCTTCGTCATTACCAGCATCTAATTCAGAAAGGTCTTCGGAATAATCAATAACATCCTGTGTGGTAAATGCTGTTTTCCGTGTGCGTTTTGTCCCGGGCGGGTTGTGTTAGAGATAGGGTGTGGGTGGTTGGCGGGTGCTCTGGTGTGGTTTGCTCCTTCTTTCCTCTTAAGCATCTATCGTCCTTATCTACCCTCCTTCTTTTTTACGTTTGTTGTTACTCTCTTGTAACACCTCTAATTTTCGGCACTTTTATGACCTTATTGTGTTGCAGGTGCCGTAAAACTCTTTACTAAACTAAACTAAGAGATAGGGTCTCCCTCATCGGAGCATCAGTGGCCAGGCATACAGTCAGTTTTACGCGCCACCGATAGACTAGCGGTGCAAGGGCTCAAAGATTTAACGAACCACTAATGATTATGTTTTCAGCGAGTGAAGAGTGAACCTTTATATTCGAGGTGCTTCAAGAATTTTATGTAAGTGTCTTGGTATGAAACAACGTTGTTGTTTGTCTGTTTGTGTCTGCTTCAGTTTGCTTCGTCGTTTTACTGTCTGTCTCTTTCTTATCAATTAACACGTCCAAACAAATGTCGCTGTTGTATCTTTCATTCTTTGTGGCGTAGGTAGTGTATTTTTTTCTTTGCATTAGTTAGCCGCTATTGTCTGTTGTGTAGTTGTTACACTCCTCACCATCGCACGCAGAAGACGCAAGATTGATTTCTGTGACAAGAGCGTCCTGGTCTTTCTGCTGGGATGTTGTATTTAGCCAAAGATAGTACATAACAAGATGGTCCACTCAGCCAAAAAAGTGTCCGCCGGAAGTCTGCTCTTTGCTCCAGATGGCGCTGCAGTCTGTTTTGAAGCTCTCTTTCGTTTTTCCAGAAGAAGAATAGGAATACCACCTCCTTGCGTACGCAGATTGACTGCTGTTCATCTGCAGTTCGGGTTCGTTCAGTGCAGATTTTCAGGTTTTAAAAAACTTTAATGACCTCTCGCTTTTCATTCTAAAGTCAAATTAAAGGAAGATAACAATCACCCCTTCCTCCGGAAAAGGTTTTTTGTCAGCGTAACCATTTTAAAGAAGCGTTCTTCCGAAATTAAAAAAAACAACTTGCTAGTTTCACTTTGATTTTTTAACACAAGTAGGGTAACTCTGTTCGCGAACGGTGCGCATTTGCGAAGAGGGTGCCACCGAATTTTGAGGACACTTTTTTAATTGGCTCAAAGAGAGGAGTGGCCCCTCTTGTTATGTAGACTCTTTGATTTCGCTCCGCCTGGGTTGGCCTTGACAGCCAGGGTAGCTGGTCGGCCTCCTAAATGATCTGAATTGTGTACAGTTCATGGGAGCGTTAAGACATCTGCATTGTGAAAGAGGATTGTTTCTTTTTCAGTCTTTATTTTTTACCAGCATTAAATGACTAATAAAGGGCCGTTACTGTGCTGCTGAGCTTCTCTTCGCTCAAACAAACGAATCTGTAGCTTGTGCCAGTACTTGTTAAAAATCTTTGACCCAGTGTGTAGACATCCCCTACTTCAAAGAGGTGGTGATCATGGCCACCAACTGCGACATGTGCGGTCACCGTGACAACGAGGTCAAGAGCTCGGGCGGGATCGAGCCCAAAGGTCGCCGCATGGAGCTGGCTGTTCTTACGGCCGAGGACCTCGCTCGGGACGTGCTCAAGGTGAGTCTAATAATAACAATAATAGTAATAATAATAATAGATTGCATTTATAGCACTCTATTCCGTACAAGTATAAGCTCTGAGCGCTGTACATCAATCACATGATCACTGAGCGATTCACACGAGATAAAATATTTCACTGCTAGAAAAACCGGTTCAACCACATAAAGAACTATCACAACCATACATTAATTATTTACATGTAAAGAAAGCATAAAAAAACACGACATCCGTACTTGCTAACACACTGTAAGCCCTGATGTCGTGGCTGGTACATAGGGAAAATTAGACAATTTTGCAATTTTTGACGCGCCAGGTATGACATTAAAGTGAAATTTTCAAATTCCTGATTCTCCAGTTTCATATAGTAGACATATCCGGTACGCCATTTTAGCAGCGCATCGTTAAAACTTTGTATCCAAAGTTATCAGCAAAGTATTGTGGCTATTAACACCTATAAGACTGCGGCCGAGAATATTCATGAAGCGCGACTGCTTCCCTGGGACTTGAGACGAGCATACTCACGAGTGAAATGACGAGATCTAAATAAAATCCAGTTGCAGTTTCTCTATACATATCCATGGTTTTTTTAAACTTACCAATTGGTTGTATTTAGATATTTTGCTCCCGATTTATGGAAATATTGAAAGTAGAAAGCGGCAAAATGAGTTCAAAAAGGTGTTTCACTGAACCCGGGTTTCACGACAAAATTAGTTTGGACGCAGACTTTGATGAAGAGGTTGATGGCTCGGACAAGGACCGTGACAATTCAGATCGGAAGTCTTCAGATTGAGAAGAAAAGTGATGTGGATAATAGAACATGTTATCGTTGATTGAAGATCTATTATTTACTCTATAAGTAGATCGAGACCAAATCAAATCTTTTATCTCTGTTAGGTACCTAGGTCTATTACATAACTGAGTTCTGGGAAAACTGAGAAGGAAAAGATGAAGAAGTAAATTGAGGCAAGTTCCAGTTCGCAAAACTGAGGTTCGTACAGTTGAACCTGCTGCAACAACGGCGCCCTGTGTAAAACGAAGACAGTCACTGCAGTGGAACCCACAAGGAGCACGAGGCAGGGGTAGGCCACGGGAAACATGGAGGAGATGCGTGAAAAGGGACATGAGAGAAATGAAGCTCCTGATTCCACTGCGTCATGCCACATATATATTTTTTTCCGCATGTCCTGATTTTGAGCCGATTTTTGTAAGTTACGCAAAGAATGTGTCAAAAAGGTAGTAATTGTTATACTTCAAGGAAAACAAAACAGGAAAAAGGAAAATTGTTTGACTTGTGATGATCATAGTAATCAGGGATGCCAAATCTCCGGTTTTTCTGTTTTTTTCCTACACTTGCAAAGGAAAGGGGAATGGTAAGAGAAATGTTTTTGTTTGCTCATTTAAAGATTTTACAAAGTACGTTTTAGGTGAGGTGTGACGCTCCGCTCATTTTCCGTTTTTTTTTTCTTTCAAAAATCATTTGGCATCCCTGGGTAATGGGATGATGATGGTGATGCGATGGTGATGATGACAATGATGATAAATTATGGTGATGGTGATGTTGATGATGACGACGATGACAATGAGTTAGGGCTCAGTATATTATTTCCCGGTTTCCTTCGTTTCAGAGCGAGACGGCCTCGGTGCTGATCCCGGAGCTGGAGTTTGAGATGGAGATGGGCACGCTGGGGGGGAAGTTCACCACTGTGGAGGGGCTGCTGGAGGACGTCAAGGCACAGGTGGGGGCCACTGTCTATCTGTCTGTCTGTCTGTCTGTCTGTCTGTCTGTCTGTGTGGGTGGTTGGCGGGTGCTCTGGTGTGGTTTGCTTCTTCTTTCCTATCAAACATCTATGTTTGTTACTCTCTTGTAACACCTGTAATCTTCTGGCGCTCATATGACCTCATGCAGTTGCGAGCACCGTAAAACCTGTTCTAAAACTAAACTAACTGTCTGTCTGTGTCTGCTTCTGTATTTGTACGTTTGTCTGCGTCTGCTTCAGTGTGCTGTGTCTTTGTTTTGCTTCCTTCTGTCTTGTTTTCTATCTCTAAATAACTCTTCTGTTTCAATTTGAATCTCTCAAATTACAATTCGTGAGTGGTTTGTGGGTGCTCTGGTGTGGTTTGCTTCTTCTTTTTTTAGTACACGTCTATCGTCCGTACCTCTTTCTTTTTGTGTGTTTGTCACTCTCTTGTAACACCCTTTATCTAAGTCACTTTTGCCCCCCGGGGCGGTGCCACTGACTGAAGTGTCTTTAGGCCATTCCCAAAGGGGGGACATTTCTCGTTCAAGCACTGTAGAATTGTAAATGGGCTGATTCATCATGTCACGCTCATAACTGTGCCTGATCTACAACAGGGAACTGCTGCTTTTTCTTTCCTAATCCTTATTATTGTCATTTTTTCCTCTATTTCTTTTGTATGTTTGTCACTCTCTTGTGACCTGCTATTTCCGGGGTGCCTTGATAGTTGAAGCAGACCTTGTGCTGTTGAAGCTAGAGAGGTGAGCAGTCTAAGTCTGATTCCCTGTAAAGACTTCTCTGTTGACACTCATCCCTTGGTGCTCATATGACCTTATGCAGTTGTGAGCGCCGTAAAACCCTCTACTAAAAAAAAATATTAAAAAGTGTGTTTTTCTTGAATTTCATCTCAAAGTCAATCATAGAGATCTCTTTTGTTTCGTTCAGCTGAAGGCGACCAACCCGTTTTTCCACGGCGACTCGTCGCAGCCGCAGGTGAACAACAAACTGTCTGCCTTCTGTGACAAGCTCGATGATGTAAGTGATTCGTTTGATCCCCGTGGGTGGTTGGCGGGTGCTCTGGTGTGGTTTGCTTCTTCTTCTTTCCTATCAAACATGCCTATTGTCTTTATCTTCCTTCTTTCCCTCCTCTGGCTGGCAACCTCTTGTGGCCTCGGCCAGAGTATATCTGGGCCCGACCTTGCGTTGATTGTCTTTATCTCCCCTTCTTCTTTTCTGTGTTTGTTACTCCCTTGTGACACGTCTAATCTTCGACGCTTATATGACCTTATTGTGTTGCAAGTGCCGTAAAACACTTTCTGAAACCAAAAAAAGTTTGATCCCCCTCTCAGGATGTGTCACTTTTGTCATTTTCTTTTGTTCAATCGTTTGTTTCAGTAGGTGGTTGATGGGTACTCCTGTGTGGTTTGCTCCTCCTTTTTCTACATATGAAATTTATTGTCTTTTCTTTCTTTTTTTTTGTGTGTGTGTGTTGCTCTTTTAGTAAAAACTCTTAGGCACTTATACGCAGTGGCGTCGTGCGGGTTGCAGACAAGGTGGTGCATAATTGGAAAGTGAGCAAATGGGCAATAGGCTTAGTAGCTACAGTTAAGATTTCTAGAGAAAGTCAATTAGAATCTGCAGGATATCCCGTAATCTACATCTATCGATGTTTACTACGGTTTCAAGATGAAACCGCATAAAAGTTGCAGTAAAGTGAAACAATACTAACAACTTACTATGCTCACAATGTTGACAATAAGATTATGTCCCTTTTTTATCATTCTATGATTGAAAGTGTGCTATTATTTTGTATTTGCTGCTGGGGCGGGAATTGTAAGGTGAAAGATAAAGAAAAATTTGACAGAACCATTAAGAAAGCCAGCAAGATCTCTGGATATGATTTTATAAGAATGGATGAAATGTATAACACCACATGTATAAAAAAGATAAAAAGCATTATAAACGACCCATCACAACCCTTTTCCACACAAATTGTAAGATCACGCAGCGGCAGATATGTACCTCCAAAAACAAAGAAAGAAAGGTATAAAAGAAGTTTTTTACCACCTAGCATAAGGCTTTTGTCAGAATGAGCATAGACGTGTGTTGCTCTTAGAGTATATATCTGTATATAACTCCAAAGGTCTAGTATTTAAATTCCTGCATGTGGTTGAATGATGCATTTGATGTAAATGTACATTTTGTCAGCTTTACTTCTCCTTTCATATTGAATTTTAATGAGAGTAATATATATGATTTAAATTTTTTAATGTATACCTGCATGTGTTTTTACGGTCCTGTACAGCCAAGGAAAATTTCCCTCTGGGATAATAAAGTACTATCTTATCTTATCTTATCTTATCTTATCTGAGAAGATTTCAAGATTTCTATATTTGATTTGGATTTGTAATTACTTCGTGCAGCACCAGGATTTGCTTCACAATAGAGGGAGACAACGGTTTCGATACCCACTCTTCTTTGAGTTACCGTAGACTCTAGTGTAGTAGATAGGCGAGCGGAAACTTGGATCAAATTTTTAGCTTGCACCAATTTGGTGCTGCGAAGAGTTGTTTCATGCACCTTTCTTCTTCTGTGGGAAGAATGATGCCTAGATTTTTTTACAGTGACAAAAATAACTGGTGCAAAGATTTTGCTTGCTCCCAGTCCAGCGGACACTACCACAAGCCATCTTCGCTGTCTGTCTCTTCTCTGGCGCATCCAGTGGGTGACGGATCACAAGGATGTAGTAGGCCTAATGTAGATCTAGAGCACTGACTGGTTTAGAACAATTCGAGAAAAAAAAGGGGGGAGGGAGGGGGTGAAGGCCAGGGTTAGGTGGAGTGCTTGCACCAATTGCACCAATGGTGCCCCGCCACTGCTTATATGACCTATTTGTGTTGAAAGTGTGGTAAAACTCTTCTGTGTTTTTATTGGTCTGCCTCTTTTCCTTTTCCCTTGCTGACTGCAGCTAAGTGCTTGCCTTGTGATGTTGGTTATTGTGTTAAGTAGCATGTGAGAGGACATTGTTGGTGTAGGCGTGCCAAGTATCCTGATTAAATCGGAACCCTCTTTGGGTTTTTTTTTTTTTTTGCCGTAGAAGAATCCTGATCAGATTTGCGTGAATCCAATATTTTTTTCTTGAATTCTGTTTCCTTTGGTCGTATTCCACATTGTAATTAATGTTGAAATGTTTATTTGCAATATTCGGGTGGCTAATCGTAAATGATGTAGGAATACTCATTTTCATTTTCAATACATGTTTTTTTGCTGCGGCCACATGCGTAATGCAATCTGAATCTACTGGGGTTTTGGAGCCTGACATTCCCTCCCCCCCCTTTACCCCCCCTCTCCCCCCCCTCTCCCCCCCAACCCAACTAAGATTATTTTCGGGGAGGATTCTGAGAAAAAACTTCTATTTTTAGTCGGGATTGGGTACCCAGTTATAGACAGCGAAAGATCTTGTTTGTTTATGTTTTGAGTGCTTAACTGTCTGCTTTCACTGTACGCTTCCTAGGAAGCCGAGAATGCTTCTGAGCGTTGTTAGATCTGCTAGGGTAATAATGTAGGTTGTGAAAGGAATAGAGCTTGCTGTTGAGTGGGAATCTGTGCTGTACAAATACCATGTATTTTATCAATTCCTGATTTTCAAACTCCACTTGTCCGTCTATTTGTAGATCATCAAGGGCGAGAGGAAGGATTGCCACTTTGTGCTGGATGACCCTGCTGGGAACAGCTTCATACAGGTAGGTTACGAACAAGCGAGATGTCTGGGACTAGCTGTTACGGGTTAATGAGAATATCTGAGGAATATTTTTTTTTGTAATTTGGGGTTGGGGGGGGGGGGGGGGGTATAATACAGTATTGCCCGGATAGGTCGAACACAGACGACTTAAAATCACGCATCTTTCGAACTGTGCTTGCAGTCCCATTTTTTTTTTTTCTTCGTCATCTTTGTAAGATATCCGGATATCCCTCAAACTACGGATCCTTCGAAGTACCAAGGGCGGTCTTGGCGAATTTGAGCTATCTGTGTTATACTGTAAGTCTGTTTCCCCTCTAGGAAGTGTGCCATCGGTGAATGGAAATGTCACTGTCAAAATCTCTCTTTCTCCCTCCCTAACTTTCTGTCAGCCTCACTTTGTCTATCTCTGTCTCTCTCTTTCCCCCCTCTCTCTCTCTTCTTGCTTTGCACCCCCCCCCCACTCCTAAACATGCCTAGTACAAAATAAGAGGCCCTCACTACCTCTCAGACAACTCTTATATTTCCTCTCTGTGAGTGGTTGGCGGGTGCTCTGGTGTGGTTTTGTTGGCGGGTGCTCTGGTGTGGTTTGGTTGGCGGATGCTCTGGTGTGGTCTGCTCCTTTCCTATCAGACATCAATTCTCCTCATCTCCCCTCCTTCAATTTTCGTGTTTGTTATTCTTTTGTAACACATCTAATCTTCTGCACTTATACGACCTAATTGTGTTGCAAGTGCTGTAAAACTCTTACTGAATAAAGAATTTAAAAAACTAAAATGTACTTCCCTATCGGCAGAGCCTCCATGCCCCCGAGCCCGACCCCCAGATCGTGGAGACATACTACGAGCGAACGTTTGATCAGAACGAGGATCTCGGCCTCAACGACATGAAGACGGAGAACTACGAGGAGACGTGACGGCAGCCGTACTCGCTTCGCGTAGAGCTCCGTTACCCCCACCCCCTGGACACACACACACAGACATACACATTGCTGTTCAGTTCTCCATTACCTTTGGGCTAGGTCCATGTTACGGAAAATAAAAGATGATTTAATTTATATATATATATATATGTGTGTGTACAGATCATTGTCTCTTGCTACTCACGTTACTGTCTTGCAGGTTTTTTTCCTCATCTCGTATTCGTGTTACTGCGACTATGACTATTGTCTTTGTATCACGTGTATGCTCAACAAAAGATTTATAAAAACCAGGTGTGGCGTCGGATGTCCAGTAGTTAGGCTGTCAGACTTGTACTCAAGTGATCAAGTGATCAAACCCCATCAGGGATCCATCGTTGTGTCTTTGCGAAAGACACTCGACATCCTCACTACATCCAGGTGGAGATATGTACTTACTTGGCTATCGACAGTGACATTAAGATCTTGTCAGTTTGTTACTGTTTTCTTATTTGGCTGCTTGCACTGTATGCTTCCTGGGAAGCCACATGTTTCTGAAAGTTCTAGGGTCTGCTGGGGTGATACCTTTAATTCACATAGAGTGTGCTGTAGAGCATGGATATGTCCTATATAAATGCAATCTTTATTATGATCATTACTATTATTATGTGAATGTCAAATATTTATGGGTTTGTTGGGGGGGAGGGGGTGGTGGTGAGTTCAGGCTACTTTGTCTTTCTTCTTTTCTGTCAATCTGTCAGCCAGCCCCTGGTTATTCATTCAACAAGTTAATCTGCCATCAACAGCTTCTATGACTTATGATTGTGATGATTATGTCTACTATTACTACTTTAGGTTTTTGTTGATCTGAACACAAATAAATGAACTCTCTATGTTTATGTGTAAGTGTAAGTGTTCCTTTGTCATTGTTATAGTAAATACTAAATACTCTCACAGTCAGTGATAAATATTTTTTGAGACGGGGTAAGGTTGGAGGGCACCTTCTGGTAGGTCCTCGGTCTATACTGTACATTTGTACTTCTGTTGGTTCTGTCTCTCTTGCTTTACCCTGCTCACCGGCATCTGTGGTGTAGTGTAGGCAGTTCGCCATCACATGCAAAAGATGCGAGTTTGAATGGAGACTTTTTATACAGTCTCTACATTTCTGCTGGGGTGTTTGTATCCTCACATGCCAGGTTGACCCCGACAGGAAGGCCTGATTGAAGTTTAAGTAAATCTGGTCTAAAAAGTGAATACAGTGGAGTCCACTTATAACGAGGTCTGTTATAAAGACACGATTCTAAAACCCTGTTTTTTTCCCTTCTTTATCTTGTGTAAATAAAATACTGCTATAGTGCAATCAGACAATCATGCGGGTCGTTATTGTGGAATATTGCTGCTGCTGTCCACAGTTTATAGGCCAATTATTCATATACATGCATGTAAAACCTTGCCAGTTGAAAAACTTGTTGGTGTTCTTGCGAAACAAAGAATGGGAGAGCACATGTGTGCCAACAATGGAGGGCCTAGCGAATGAGTGGGGAGGGTGTGGCGGCATGCGCAGACAAGCAGAACGCATCCCATGATAGGCCAGCCTAGTCTAGATTATCTAGGCCTACCATGCCTCTCACTTCTACAATGTGGGGATGGAGAGGTCACAGAACTGTGATGGATGGAGCGAATGTGTGACACGGGTAGGGCGTGGTGTGTACCCAGTGCTCAAGTAGACAGAACGCACCACAGGGTGTGGAGGGGTGGCGTGGGAGACAACACAGCGGGCGAGTTAGCCTAGAGCTCTTTTTTTGCTGATCACCAACGCCGAGCTGTCAACAACATTGCTAGCACTTGAGAAAGAAACCTGATTCGATTTTTGATCAAGTAAGACGTAGAGGTAATGTTGAACAAAATGATCGTCAGGGGAGATGGCAAAACAGAACACCCCAAACTCATAGATTAGGCCAACTTTATCATTTCCCTTGAATTTATTAGAGCCACTGGTTCGTCTTTATTCTCCCCCTCCTTTTGTTTGTATGTTACAGTCTAGTAACAGTCACCTCTAATCTTTGGCACTTGTTGTATAACCTGATTGCATTGCACATGCGATAAAACTCTTACTAAACTAAATCCTCACTAGATCTAGGTTGTTTTTGTTTTCGATCCTGTAAACCTGACTCAAAACACATCACATTTGTGGGTGGTTGGTGGGTGCTCTGGTGTGGTTTGCTTCTTCTTTCCTCACATCTATCGTCCTTATCTCTTCTTCTTTTTTACGTTTGTTGTTACTCTCTTGTAACACCTCTAATCTTCGGCACTTATATGACCTTATTGTGTTGCAAGTGCCGTAAAACTCTACTAAACTAAACATCACATTTTAATTAATCCACCAATCCAGACAAGAACAAAAAACTAAACAAAGATAAAGAATCAAAAGCCAACGCTGCAGATGTTCTGTACAACTAAGGTTGTATTGCACCATACAAAAACTGAAACAGGCAAGCATAAACCCCGGGGCCCAAACATCAGAAGTAAGAACAGAGGCTCGTGGTAAGTGAGCGGTAAGTCAGAACAGAAAAGTAAAAGTTGGGGGCGGGGGACATAATGATAATGTGTCATGGCAACAAAATAACAAACACATGTACAATAGAACCCACTTAACAATTGGACTAGGAAAACCATCTCTTGACACGAAACAGAACACAAAGTGACACATGGTCAAAGACTATATTATAATCCTCAAACATGCCATCTTGATTAATTCACTACATGTAACTTTCTACCATCCGTGGATGTAACTTTCTATCATCCGTGGATGTAACTTTCTATCATCCGTGGATGTAACTTTCTATCATCCGTGGATGTAACTTTCTATCATCCGTGGATGTAACTTCCTCTTGCCGGCTGGCACCTGTATCCTGTACACGTTTAGTGTATACAATTTTTTTCCGCTGATTTACCTTTTTCGTCGCCTCAGAACTATTTATTTTCTCCAGAGTGCACTCTAAAGCCAAGTACACTTTCCCTTAGGACAAAATAGTGCTGAGACGATGATTTGTTTCACAAAGTATAACAATAACATATTCCACGGTTGTAAAACGCCCAGAACAAGCCGCAGAGCACATATAAGCGCTGTACAAACGAAACTTGTTATTATTATAACCTTGTTATATATTGTCATTATCAGTATCGGCATACCTCATACCCTCTTCACAGTAAACTGTAGTAAACATTTGCTTAGTCTTACACATACATATTGATTATTAAGATGGTTCCACTGAACGTGTGTGGACATTAAAAATTAAAAACAAAAGAAAATGGAGCAGCAGAAAACCAGCGGTATAAACGCAGCTGCTACAGACAAGAGAAATGAGCATTTTTGCGGTACAAAGGACAATATTGTGGCGGTTCGACGACGTATGAGAATAAAATGGTTCCGTCTGTATTTGACGGATGTTTCCAGTTATTTGAGTTATGGGTTGTTGCGGGTTCTATCTGACGCCACACACTACACCAGTGCCAGTGCTTGCCGACCTAACCATGAGAGATTGGATAATTTTGGCGGGCGCTGGGGACCACCCAGGTAGTCACAGGTAGTTTTTAAACCCTGCTTGGCGCTACATAGGAGATACATATGTGAGGTAGGTGGGCGGTGAGAACATTTTACCCTGTTGAAGAAAAGATGGCAAAAGAAGGTGCTGACTACAGAAAGGTTGACAAGCACTTCACTAGGCAAGTGGTGATATGTGTTTTGTTCTGATATCACTATTCTTCTCGGAGAAAAACACGTTGAAAAGGTTTTATCTCTAATCTGCTTTTGCACTTAAAATCCACAAATTTTGACGTCCAAACATCTCAAAGGTACATTTGTTGAGCCTGTTGTAACCGCTATCTGTCCAAGACGGTCATATGTACAAATGTACCCCCCCCCCCCCCCCACTCATTTCTAAAAATATTGACAATGTCCAAGACATCCACCTCTCTAAGACAATTTCTGAACAATAGTTGGCCTTCGTGGACAATTTTGCCATTACATAACGATGAAGAAAGAAAGAACCCTTTTTAATCTCATACGACGAGTTATTGGGGGCCTTGCAGCAGACTAGGTAGGAGGAAAGAAGTACCACTGGTAAAGTAAAGCGGTAGTAGTCTGATAAAGTAGTAGTAGTCTGATAAAGTAGTAGTAGTCTGATAAAGTAGTAGTAGAGAGGAAAGAAGTACCACTGGTAAAGTAAAGTAGTAGTAGTAGTCTGATAAAGTAGTAGTAGTCTGATAAAGCAGCAGTAGTCTGATAAAGTAGTAGTAGTGAGGAGAGCACCCAACAACAACGAGAAGCAACGACACCACAGGATGTGCGAGGGTGACAGAGTGACGGAGCGACAGAGTGGGGGAAATGGTGAAGGAAAAGGGGAAACCAGTGATCCATATCGCCAACCAGCTGTTCAGTTGTGCCGAGGCCAAAATTTTGAGAATTTCTTTTCTTGCAGTTCCATCTAACCTGTCTTATCGGTGACAGGTGCTCCAGAAATACATTAAAAAAAAAAAAAAATTCAATTCAAATTCTAAATGTTGAAAACAGGAGAAAAAGATACATTATTTGGTTTATAATTTCAGAAAGAATGAAACAGCTTTTTCTCTGTCCGGGGAAATTTTGCTATATGGGCTCATAACAGTTGAACAGCTTTTTGACAATATTATATGAAAAAGAGAACACATTTATATGACATAGGAGAGGCCAGAAAACATACATATATATATATAATATACCATATCAATCAAGAGTGTTCACAAGAACAAAGCAAATTATGCCAAGCCACAGGGAAATAAGTAAGTTGGGAGTATCATACAAAATTTACATCAAGTGCAACTAGTGCAAGCCACCCACATACGGAAGAATTGCGTCCAAGCTTCAAAGCAGATTCTAAAAAAAGTCAAAACATACCGCGACGACACAAATAATACAACCACATCTATACTTGTTTCTTTTCCATCCCTCCATGACCAGCGCTTCTGAGCACATGAAAGAAAGGTTCAAACGAGACAGTAAACGGGAGGCAATACTACATGTAGTACTACATACACATACTCACAATACACATACACGAAACAATTCTGTTGTAGTTGTAAGATGAACAACAAAGTGTGATAAAGACCAAAGAATGAATAAATGAATGAAAGAATGAGAATGGTACCCAAAAAAAATAAAAATTAACATATTCTTTCTCAGAATTAGACTGTAAGAAATCCTTATTGCAACACAAGAAATAACAGGAAACAATTTTACCTTGTCACTTGCAAAAAAAGCTGACAAAGAACAAAGAGTTAGAGTAGGGAGAAAAAGTGGCCAGGTTCGATACATGGTAGGACTTAACAGAGACGTGTGTTGTCACAGAGACGTGTGTTGAGACCTGTCACAGAGACGTGTGTTGGGACCTGTCATGTCACAGAGACGTGTGTTGGGAAATGTCACAGAGACATGAGTTGGGAAATGTCACAGAGACGTGTGTTGTGTGGGACCACAGAGACATGTGTTGGGACCTGTGACAGAAACGTGTGTTGGGACCTGTCATGTCACAGAGACGTGTGTTGGGACCTGTCACAGGGACGTGTGTTGGAACCTGTCACAGAGACGTGTGTTGGGACACAGAGACGGCTTCTGGCATGTGTTGGGACCTGACATCCCGTCAACTCAGTGATCTCTCCGAAGTACATGGCCGTTCAGGAAACAACGAAAATCAACATATCGTCCACGTCCGACTCTTAACTCTTATCACGTATGTGTGTGAACACTGATTTTCATTATCGAATGTGGAAGAAAAAAATTTTCCACTGTCTGCAATAATTGCTTAAAATGTTGAAAACACTGGTTTAAAAAAAAAATAAAATATATATGTGAGGCAGCGTGGTGAAATCAGGCGCTCGTCAAAATAATCAGAGTGAAGAAACTGGCATTTTTTCGCAGGTTTGTGAATTTTAATGAATTTTCGTTTCTTGGCTCAACACCTTTCATGCCCATTAAAGAACACATTTCTGTGTGGATTTTATGCCCATTAAAGAACACATTTCTGGTGTGGATTTTACTGAAAAAAGTTGATTAAAGGCACAAAAAGAATAGATTTTCAGTTTCCACGGACTCTCAAGCTAAGGAAATAACTTAGCTTTGGCAGCCATTTTCTCACTAGCTTTACTTCTCAAACCAGGAGACCCCCCACCTCCTTCATTCGCAAATATCTCAACTTGTATTCAAGATAAATGGATATCTTTTTTTAAAATATCAAAAGCAAGATAAATGAACAAGCTTTAATATGATACCAATAACTCAACATGCCCAAAAATTGACGAGAGCCTGATTCCACCGCAATGTGACACATGTATTTTTTTACATATTATATAAAATAGTATCACCAATTGTAATTATGGGAGTGAACAACATATTTTGAGACAAATAAAGGGATCGACCTAATTAGGCAGCTACGAAGTTAGAGTCGGGACACAGATGATACGATCTGCCACTAAATAGAAAAACCGAGAATACCTATCCCACAAAATCATGTTTTGCCACATGTTGGAGGGGAAATTAAAAAAAATTAAGAGACAACTTCAATCCAAATTTTCCTCCCTCAATAATGTGGGAACATTCGTTGGCCACAGAAACATTATTGCTTCCACACTATGATAAAAAGACAAGGATATAAATTCTCACTTTCGAATCCTTAAAAAGCTAGATTTTAACTCAGATTTGAATAGGTACCAACGCTTCATTCCAAAGGCAGAACAATGGAAGAGCAATACAAGACCAAGAAAAAAGGAACATTTGGGTATGTCGTGGGCCACAGTCATGTGTCATGTATATTCCCAGGTCTGGCATTCATTAAACAAATCCAGGAACAACAAGATCATGGGACCCGCATCATAATCTAGACATAATCTAGACATAACTGACAACTGTAGGAGTATATCCTCCCAGGTCATCATAGAAGCCATATATATCCCTGAATCATCTGACGTCCATCACCAACAGATATAACACTTTCCAGTCACACAGCCAGCAGTACAAAATACCCCATCTGGTCATCCAGCCTGGAGAGTGACAGCAACGGACTTCTCGGGCCAACTGCGCCACGTGACCAGAATGGATAATTTTCACCGTCGCATTATTGCGCCAAGTGACCGCAAAGTGTTAAGACAAGTGGGGGGGGGGGGGGGGGGGGAGTCCTGACAACTTTCTAGACAAGACAACCCCAGTTCAAGACAGCTGATCGCTGATTCGAACTGGAACCATAGAGGCAATATAGCCCGGCAGGATACCAACAGAGTTAACTGCTATGGAATATATGAAAAATTCATTTTGCATAGAGCACAAATAGAAACCACTTTAAATATTTGATAATTTAATATTAGTACTAGTTTAAGTATATGCTGTGAGAAAAAAAAAAGCACAGGCCAGAATAGAAACCACTTTTATAAATTTGATCGACTAATAGTAATAGTTTAAGTATAATTTGAGAGAAAAACAAAAGCATAGACACAAGTATCGTCATTTAGTCTTTTGTTGTTTTTTTAAAGTAGAGGGTTTTACGGCGCTCGCAACTGCATAAAGTCATATGAGCGCCAAGGGGTGGGTGTCAACAGAGAAGTCTTTGAAAGGAATCAGACTTAGACTGCTCATCCCTCTAGCTTCAACAGCACAAGGTCTGCTTCGACTATCAAGGCAGCCCGGAAATAGCGGGTCACAAGAGAGTGACAAACATACAAAAGAAGCAGAGGAAAACAACAATAGTAAGGATCAGGAAAGAAAAAGCAGCAGTTCCCTGTTGTAGATCAGGCACAGTTATGAGCGTGACATGAATCAGCCCATTTACAATTCTACTGTGCATGAACGAGAAATGTCCCCCCTTTAGGAATGGCCTAAAGACACTTCAGTCAGTGGCACTGCCCCGGGGGGTTATTGTCATTCAGTGCTGGGGGAAAAACAAGAAAACACACCAGGACATGGAGAAAACAGTAATGATGTTGGTCCTACCAGTAGCGCCTTACAATAAACCGCTGGTTGAATTGTACATAGTTCAGAAATTTCTGGCTCTTTCAGCGCCAAATCATCGTCACACTACAAAAACTCTCACTGACACAGCTCCATAAAGCAAAATTTGTTAATACGATTAAATCAAAAGAAAGCTACGTGATCATCAGATCTAATAATGCACAATGCCAAAGAGTTAAGTTTTTACTGTTAAAAGCGACGTTTGCTCTGTGAACAGTGGCTTCTCCGCATCACGCCAAACCTGCGCACTCAGAGACCCCAGCTGTTCACCCAGAACTTTTTATAAGAACAAGCCGTGGTAACACAACTCCACTGCAACTTGTCACCTACAGACCTAAGAGCCAAACGAAAGCAAATACAAGTGCTTGCCTCCTACTTCTACAATCAAAATTCTATCAAGCTGAGTAGACAGAACTCCTAAAAGCCCACTAAAAAATTCTGTCAAATTGAGCAAACTTAAAATAATACTGTCTAAACTATTCCCATCATCTACAAACGAAAGGAACGAATTTCAAAAGATCAAACAATATAAAAAAAACAGCTATGACTTTATCCATCCACTACCTACTCGCATATATCAATTCACCCACCATCATGGCATGTTGTTAATCATCCTACCTGTTTGTTTCTCCTTTCCTATCAAACATAATACGTCATTCTTTTCCTTCCTTCTTTTCTTTGTATATTTCCCTCTCGTAACACACCTTTCACAAAAATTTAAAAAAAAAAAAAAATCAACCTGCCTATCCCGTTATCCATTCATTTTCAAGCCTTTTTTCTGTGGTCTCACAGAGTAGGCTAAATGAAAACGGACTGCAACAAGGAAGTGGCTCACAAACTAAGCTGACCTGGTTTCACCGACCAAATAGCATCATTTGCATAGGACTAGGACCAAAAAAGAAAACGTAATAAACAGAAAAAAGGGACATGAAATTGCGATCGAGAAGAAGAAGAGGGACATGAAATGAAATCACAAAAAAATGCAAGTTTATCTACTAAAGCTTCGGACCTACTAGAAAACATTGTAGATACAAACATGAGGAATGGAAAGAGAGAAAAATCACAGCCAGGCAAACGTTGCTGAACAATAAGCACTGTGTCACTTTGTAGGGAACAGACAGGGGAGTTGTGGACTCTGCCATGAATGGACAATTATTTATTTTCCTCCTTAATAAAATAATACTGTAATAACAATATATTTATAATGTCTCGTTGAGCATCCAAAGGGTTACTTGATGCTGTATTTTTCCCAAGCATATCTAAATGTCAGTGTTTTGAAAGTATTTTTTAAAAACTTGCACTGAAACTCGTAATGGACCAATCACAACAAAATTTTCTCGAAAATGAGAAAAAAGTCAGTTAAATTATTTAAACCAAACCAGATTCCCCTTTTCACACAATTTAAAAAAATTAATTAAATCCCTATACATAACGTCTACACCTGCCAATACATCCGCACTGCTTACCAATTGAATTCACAATAAGTAGAGAATGAAAACACATCTAAGACCTCTATATATGTTGCATACAAGACGAGACCTTGCAATCCAGAGGGGTGGAATGTCCGTAAAACGATCAGCATCGTAAAGCATCGGGTAAACAAAGTAAACGACAGAGGAATGCAATCCACAGGGCAAGCCCACTACAGACAGAGAGAACCGATGGACTGGGAGTCTACAACAGGGCATGTCAACTGGTCATTCGATGGGTGAGGAATGATGGACCAGTCAAGACTCTTTTTTCTTTTCGTACAAAAAAAAAAAGTTAAACATCTCCTTCGACGTATTAAGATTAAGATCGTGAACAAATCCGACTTTCACTCTGCTAGTCAGAAACAATCCGGGCCGACAGGGAAACAACGTCCCGGTAGACAGACCAGGATAATCAATAAAAACTCTCCTCAAATGGGAATCAAACAGAGGTCTTCTGCGTACTACAGTAAAGAACCTAACTGTTTCATCAATACGCCGGTAGCCCAGAGCCTTTATCAAAGGAAAATATTCAAATGAGTGAGACACTTTGTCCGTGTGCAGATTTTCAAAAGAACAGCTACCGTATTGTTATACATTTCAGTACATGACACTGACTGCTCCGCTCAACTCTGCATCGTGCTCAGAACAAAACATTGGTTGGCAAATTAAAATAAAACCAATAATAATATTAATACTACTAATAATAATAACAAAAACAACAGGAATTCGCATAGTGCCTAATCCCAGGAGACTCTGAGCACCGTTGAATGTATTGATATCACTCAGCGTAACTGACCACTAGTTCTTCTAGTTCTAGGACATGAGCAGCTGGAAAAGAGCACAGTCTCCAAACTTCACAAACTACGGCAGCTTACAACATTCACACTGAACAATGAGTAGTTTTCACAACAGTAACATATCTGCAGGTACACACAAGGAAATGATAAAAACCCCACACTAAGGAAAAAGACAAAATTCAAACATTTTTATGCGGCTGAAAAAAAAAAGGCAAGTCCTAACAATGGATGTCCATCTATTCCCACATCTTGTACACACTGGAAATAGAAAAAACAAAACAAAACAACAACAATAATCTTTTCTTTCAGAGGTGGAAAACACAGGATATCCAAGCCAACTTTGTCCATAAAAGTATACACAGACATATCAACTGCTCAGTGATAAGACTCAGTCAAACATCACTTTTCAAAATGGCGTATTGTGGAGTCTCACACTAAGCAGTTCATATGATATAAACAATAAAAAATCCCACAAAAAACCAACACATTTTGAAACATACAACTGTACAATCCTATTTATAACATAACGATTCGTCAAATTTGGATAGAGACTCTGAATCCTATAACATAACGATTCGTCAAGTTTGGATAGAGACTCCGAATCCATCAAATCCAAAGTGACACACAAAGAGCAAAGCACGACCCGAAAGTCTTTACAGAGTTTGCTTTTTTGTCTCCCACACAAGCTACTCCTGTGTACCTCATCAGCTGTGGAAACACAAACATTGCTTGAGAGGGGGACGGAGAGACAGAGGGAGAGGGACGAGGGAGAGCTCGAGAGGGGGACGGAGAGAAAGAGGGAGAGCTTGAGAGGGGGACGGAGAGACAGAGGGAGAGGGACAAGGGAGAGCTTGAGAGGGGATGGAGAGAAAGAGGGAGAGCTTGAGAAGGGGACGGAGAGACAGAGGGAGAGCTTGAGAGGGGGATGGAGAGACAGAGGGAGAGCTTGAGAGGGGGATGAAGAGAAAGAGGGGGAGGGAGGGGGGAGAAGGAGAGGAAGAGAGAGAGACGGGCTGACAGACTGCTATATAAGCACAAAGATGTGTTGAGCAGAGCCCACTAAAAGGTTTCTTATACCTTCTCCAAGTCGAGGACTACAACATAAACTTCACCTTGTGACAGATAATACTGTTAACAGCATACTCCCCAAAATATAATATATATATTGCAATTTGTGTTTCTCCTGACCAACTCATGTCTTCCAACGTTATTACAAGTCAGTAAAGTCTTTCATATATGGCAATTAACCCTACAGACAAATTAACAATGTACACTGTCTTCTGCCCTTGTTGTGCTATTGGCATCAGCCTCTTTTATCATCAATAAAATTATTTACAGCTTCAGACAAAACAACAATGCTCATATCCAAGCCTTTAGCGGGCATGACATTCACGATGCTTTTTTTTTTCTTCGACACACAATTTTTGCGGAAACTTCTCCAAAACAAATTCTAATCCTTTGCCAACCCCGTCTTTCCAAGGTATGATATGACAGTTCATCCGTCATTGTCCGACAACGGCCTCTTCAGGGTAAATCATACGGCAAAACATTAAGACTTACAACTCAGGTGTTTGACCAAGCAACATCAGGAAAAAAACTCATTGCACCTAGCATTTTGAACAAGACCACTAAATGAGCAAAATTCAGTGAGCATAACACTATCACTAGTTTTATTATATCATCCTCTCATTCCCCACTCCCATACACATTATTCTAATGATTAGAGCAAATAAAAAGAAATGCTCACGCCAATTTGGAAATAACTTATCTTCAAACATTCACTCTATTTGCTTCTAGCATACATCATCTCACCTGGAATGAAGCATCTTTGTCACACGTGTATGAGCTTGATATCAATCAAAACAGAAGCTTGTAGCCAGAAGATCAAAAAAGCAACCAAAATCTTGCAGCCACTACATAAACATTTGTCTTCATAGATATATATATATATATATGCATATGTATATTTGACCTATATAATTTACCATATGTCTAACACGTTTCAGACCCGCGCTACACGCTGAAGCCAAACACAGCAGACGACGGTCAATCTTGCGCTCACCCAGGGGGACCTCAAATACTTTCCGATCCCATTTGCTTAAATGAAGAAGGGAAGATGAGCCAAATACAACAGTTCTGGGGTTTTTCTTTTGATACTTCGTTTACAAAGACGGTGCTTACCAACCTCAAAATCTGTTTAAAAAAAAAAAGGTTTAGGCTAATCTCCAACTTCAGTATGCTCTCATTTTATAACATTAGGATTTCAGCATTGAAGCATGGCGGGGGGGGGAAAGCACCACATTAGACAAGAGAACCCAATGGGTCACCCACATACACAATACATACACATATATATATACACGTATATATATAAAACACATTGAGAGAGAAAACGTGAACCTCCCTCCCCTCTGTAAACTCATTAATTGGGCCCTGCAGAATCGAACTCGCCGGCCATGGAGGACGTGTCAAACGACGTGCTCTCCACCTTGACGTAGGTCCCCAGCAGGTTCTGTATCTCCTCCAGGAGGGGCTCGCACAGCTTCTGGTAGCCCTTGTCCATGGTCAGGTGCAGGAAGTCGTACATGACGTTGCGGGGGATGGTGCCCTCGGCGGACATGAACTCCTTGTCTTCCACCCGGAGGAAGGTGGTCATCGCCCGGCCCTCCAGCTCCTCGGCGAGCCGCTTGTTGACGGCACAGTGTTTCTCTCGCAGCGGGTTGGGCTGCTGACCTCGAGGTAGGAGACCCTGAAGAGGGAAACGTTCATAGTATAGTTAACGTTCATAGTATAGTTAACGTTCATAGTATAGTTAACGCTCATAGTATAGTTAATGTCCATAGTATAAAATTACCTTGAGTGTTACAAGAGCAAGAGGTCCACTCTATTATGTCATGAAATGCACATAAACAAGACTTTCGGTACCTTATACAACCTTACGCACTTGTGAAAGCCTTAAAACTTTTTCCAAAACTGAAACTGAAGACTTTCCCACACGTTAACAATTTATACAATTACACAATAGTTTACTTCCTCCTTCAATATTTCACAAAAACCAAAGCATCTTTAGAGGAGAACATCTTTTAAGCGAAATGGAAGACATAAGAGTTAAGGTGAATAGCAGCTTCTGCTATAGCCCATGAGACCAATTCTGGGAGACAAGAATTTGCCACATTTTGAGCATTTAAAAGCTTCATCTCCACATGTGGGCGTGTGCAGATTGTGGGCTTTTCTTTTGGCTTCAGCATTTCTAGTCTGTGATGTTTCTTATGATTTGCTACCTTTTATGATCACTGCTTTCCAACTGGGCCTGTCAGGAGCTAGGCTCTCCCATACACACAACTAAGACTAAATGCATTGTAAAGGTGAGTTCACATTCACGTCTATTTTCCCAACGAAAGAGTAATCGGAATTCTACGACAGTAATGGCAATAACCTGCTCCTAAAAAGACCGTAATGTTACAACGTATTTTGTTTAAATTATTGTTTGTCTTTGACACTTTTTCTTATTTAAAGACGTTGAGCTTTGTGGAAGCAACAGAGTGGAGGGGGAGGAAATTACCTCCTTTTTGTGCTGCAAGAAAAAAGGGCTTACCATCTCCACTCACCACCACAAATGAGAAAATGTGTGCATGCATGTTTGTAAGCAGTGTGAGTGAGAGCATGAGAGTGAATACTCAGACATAAGTTGGTGCAAACATGCTTTTTTTTTGGGGGGGGGGGGGTGCACCAATAAATTGGCAATTGTAAATGTAACACATAGGGATTGAGTTAAAATATTAGAAATTGAGGAAGAAGAGGAGCTGGCTTTGGTATCCACTTATCACACTTTTTCTTCAATTGCGCAAATTTTTAAATCACGATCCGTCCATTAAGGGGAGAAAAGAGGTGAGATATTATATTCCGCAACGATCCATCCTCCTGCTTCACCGAGCTCTCTCTAGGACTTACAATGACGATGAGATGGGAGGCCGGCTGCTTCTCCTGGATGGCCCGAGTGACGGCCAGGACACCTTCAGCGACTTGGTCCGCGGAGTGCGAGTGGTTATTGGTCCCCACCAACAGCACAATCACCTGCCACAGGGAGAGACAACTGCCAGGTCAAAAACAAAACGTGGTACTGTTTTTTTTTTTTTTTTTAAGAAGGCGCGTTATGCGGACATCCACACAATTTAGGTCATTTAAGAAGTAGGCTACTGACCCTGTCTGTCAGGGCCAACTCAGAATAGAACATCCCTGTAGAAAGACTGAGGTACCGGTACTCAATCAAAATTTTCCCCACTCGCGAATCGAACTCCGGTTTCCTGAGCGTGACAGCAAAGTGTCTAACCGCTACACCACAGACATTGGTGTGTTACTGTCTGTAATTGTACTTTCAGGACCTATTTCAAACATATTGTCCTGGGATGTACATACTTTTTTTGGCAGAAGGGGTGGTGGCGGTTGGGAAAGAGGGGGGAAGGGGAAAGGAAGGGATGGGGCATAGGAGGTGGGAATGACAACTGGTCGCTTTTAAACACAAGGGGGCTATCCTGTAAATTGCTGCTTTGAGAAACACAAGGGGGCTATCCTGTAAAATGCTGCTTTGAGAAACACAAGGGGGCTATCTTGTAAAATGCTGCTTTGAGAAACACAAGGGGGCTATCCTGTAAAATGCTGTTTTTAGAAACACAAGGGGGCTATCCTGTAAAATGCTGTTTTGAGAAACACAAGGGGGCTATCCCGTAATATGCTGGTTTGAGAAAATCGAAGGTAACGTTTTTGGACCCTAGTTCTGTTTCTTTCAAAGACAAGAAGAGTTTTCTCTATAACCAAACAAATATAAACAGCAATGAAACCAAACTTCTTCTAGAGGTAGGGCAATGCCCACTTTTAGTATAGGTCAAGATTTCTGGAAACCCTTGAAATCTGGGTTAGCCCGCTTGTCCTTAAAAGCCACTAATTAATGCTGATAAATACCAAAAAAATCAATTTTACTCTTATGTGATTCATGACGTTCTAAGCACCGGAATTGAAGAGCAGGTAAACAATTGATCAACTTTCCAGTAAAAGTGCTGTATCTGATTATTTTCTCAATTTGAAAATCAGAAGAAAAAACCCCCCTACCCACTATAATAGCATTGAGGTCGGAAAAGCAAAATCCTTGTCTGTTTGAACATGTAGGTTGCAGATGTGAAACATTTTAAAGAACGGCTCACATATAGAAAATATTGAAAGCACCAAACTAAATAATACGAGCACAGAACCCAAACACTTCAAATAACATCAAATGGAAGAAGAACTAAATTTAAAAAAAAAAAGTTTTTCCATTTACAGTAGATCTTACGTGCTTTATCCCATTTCCTGATATTAAAATTTTTTTTTATACACAAAACGTAAAGTAGTGTTTTGGTGAATCTGTGAGGGGGGTGTTTCTTTTTTTTTTTCAGAACCAAAATTATATTATTATTATGTCACTAAAAAATCAAGGCTTTTGCATCCCGATTGACATTCTGAATTTTTAGGCAAGAAGAAGCACTTGGTCGTTCCTTTTTTTTTTTTTTTTTTTTGCTTTCCTCAAATTTTCACATAGCCGTTCTAAAATCATCCAGGTAGCCATTATGGGCTAAAATATCCACGCAGGCATTCTAAACCATACACTGAAATGACAAGACAGCCATGAAAGGCGCCATCCACACAGAGAGAAGCCACATCATCATGAGAAGTCAGAGAGGCCACATGGCGAGATGTGAACACCTGGAATGAGCACACACCTTTGGTTGCACCTGGTCCAGCTCTCCATTGAGCACACGCCACAGGACGTGCTGCGTGTTGTCGCCGCCGATGCCAAAGTTCAGGCAGTGCAAAGGCTCAAACATCTCTTTCCACAGCTGTTGTTCCAGGATATACGAGGAGCAGGAGAAAGGGGGGGGGGGGGGGGGGGAAGTGTCGTTGAAAAAATGAAAAAGTGTGCAAAAAGACAAAGTGAGAAATGTCGTTTGTTTGAATCACTTTTTTTGCAGAGGATTTACGGCGCTCGCAACTGCATCAATAATAAAAACATAATAATAATAATAATAACTGCATTTATACAGCGAATATCCAAGTTCTACAGCACGCACTAGTGCTCGAAAACTCATTTAGACAAGCACATCAACACAACGGTGGTCTAGTGTAGGGAAAAAGTACGACAGACAGACAGACAGATGGAAACAACAGATGAAAAAAAAAAAGAAAAGAAGCAGGACTCACCAGTGGCACCTTTCTTGCAACCACATAAATTATTGTTTCTTAACAGCTCGTCTGTCTCAAAAGAAAAAGTACACCAATAGAAGGCCACAAGAGTGTGGGAGGTCGAGTGTGATATGTTTAGTTTAGTTTTAGTAATAGTTTTACGGCACTCGCAACTGCATAAGGTCATATGAGCGCCAGAAGATTAGAGGTGTTACAGGAGAGTAACAAACATAAAAAAGAAGAAGGGGAGATAAGGACGACAGATGTTTGATTAGGAAAGAAGGAGCAAACCCCACCAGAGCACCCGCCTACCACCCACGTATGATATGTTTAGTTTTTAGTTTTAGTAAAGAGTTTTACGGCACTCGCAACTGCATAAGGTCGTATGAGCGCCAGAAGATTAGAGGTGTTACAGGAGAGTAACAAACATAAAAAAGAAGAAGGGGGAGATAAGGACGACAGATGTTTGATTAGGAAAGAAGGAGCAAACCACACCAGAGCACCCGCCAACCACCCACGTATGATAATGTACTGAGCACAGAGGCTGTGGAGTCTCTAGAAAAAAGCCACAATCAGCGCAAAACATTAAGACAGTAGTAACAGGGGAAAAAAAAAGACCAAATAAAAAAGCACCAAATTACTACACCGCGGGATGGCAGTCAGTTTGATAGGAAAGAAAGGAGGAGAAAACTCAACATACATGAAAGGTGAACTCACTCAACTCCGGGAGTTTTTCCCGCAGCAATTGTACCCATAAATAAACCGGTCATTTCGGCACTTATGTAAAGGCCCACTAGTAACCAAAAATACACTCCAATTGCTTTGAAATTAGGCACAAACTACAACCTTTTTTGGGGGGTAAGTGTTTGTTTGTTTGTTTTGTTTAGTATAGGGTTTTACGGCGCTCGCAACTGCATAAGGTCATATGAGTGCGCGGGATACACCTAATACTTTTTCGTTGGTAGGAAATTTTGAATTTTGCCCGGAAGGCGGCCGAAGCCTACTCTTATCGATTTTAGACCACCAAGGGATCTTTAACGTGCGCAACTTGCACACGGGCCCTCCGAGATTTTTCGCCCTTGTCCGAGAAGGCTAGGTGTAGATCTTTCCTACCAGAAGATCAGGGGTGTGGCAGAAAGACAGCAGTTAGGAGGAGCCAAGGAGTAGCAGTAGAAAGGCTGCAGAAAGAGTCAGGAGCCCAGAGGTGGGGGCAAAGGAGGTGAGGGGGTGGGGGCAGAAAGTGGAAATGAAAGCAGACAACAGAACATTGTTAGAGATTAGGAAAGGATGTGAAAGGAGACAATTTTAGAGAAGAAAATTTTTTGGTCGCTACCCGGAATCGAACCAGGGACCTTTGAATGAGAGGCCAACACCTTAACCTCTAGGCCACGAGAGCCCCCTGTAAGTGTTTTACGGCGCTCGCAACTGCATGAGGTCATATGAGCGCAAAGGACACATTCAACTTCTTCAGTTGGAAGGAAATGTTGAATTTCACCCGCGCGGCGGCGGCCGAAGCCTACTCTTACAAAAAGTACAACCTAAGATGGATCTTTAGACATACCAAATTTGAAGTATGCAGCTTTAGTAGTTTTGCTTTGGGGCGTCGTACAAATTTGGCATTTTCTGGGGGCTTGTAATTTTTTTTCAGGGCCAAAATAAAAGAAGCCTGCAATGATATTCAAATATGCTAAAGATAGTCTAGATTTATATATTGTACGTCATGTATAAAGAAGACTGTTGAATACTTTCATAAATTTTAAAAAATGTATGCGCGACAAAGACAGAGAGAATCGATTGCGAGACATGCTCAGCTGATCAGTGCGAACAAAAGTGCTGAAAGTGCCTTTATAAAAACCGTGATTTCTCCGTGTGCAACGACAGTAGAAACAAAATTCCAGCTCTCCTCTAGGCAGAATTGGCCGGGGAAATAATAAATTGACCTCATATAAAACTTGAGCCCCCTTTCCGAAACGAAATAACTAGTATACGGAACAAAACTATAGAACCAAATTATCTCGGTCCTGGGATTGAACGCAGCCCGTGAGCTGACCAAGATATCTCGGTCACAGGATTGAGTGAGTTAAAAGAACGTTCTTCAGTACATAATATAGGTTGCAAAACACCAACAGATATTTTAATAAAACTCAGCGCTGCACAGAGAGTTTTCACACAAAGTCAGTGACATCTCACCAGTAACAGACCTTATGCAATTAACTAGGGGGTGAATTAACAGAAGAAAAAAAAAGAGGCAGATTAAAAAACAGGAAAAAAAGTGCAAGCAATCAAATTATTTGCTTGTCCCAGGGTTGATCTTGTGTTTGGTTGGAGAGTGCTCTGGTGGGCCTCGCTCCTTCTTTCCTATCAAACATCTAACATACTTATCCCTCCTTTTTTTTTCTTTGTACAAGTACGTTACTCTTTAGTAACACCTCTAAACTTTAGCACTTAGATGACCTTATTGTGTTGTAAATGCCATAAAACCTTTCGACGTTATTAAAACTAAAACTAAAGGTTGACCCTACTTGCTAGCCTGACTTACCCTGGACTGTGCCATGAGAGCTATGAGAGAGTCCCCAATGAGAACAACTTCTGGTTCCTTCTCCTTGGCATCATGCAAGAATGAGTTGTGCTGGGGAGTAAACATTTTGACAATAATTTACTTCCTGTCAATTCAGAACAGGACGTGCAAAACTGTGCAAAGCATTTATCATATCAAAAGTGTAAACACACACACACACACACACACACACACACGCACAAACTTAATTTTCAATTGACTATCCCCATAACAGTTGGGGGAAAATGAATGAGTCCTCAGCAGACTCACAGTTTCTAAACTGAATTCTCTCCCATGGAAGTTTCATGAAATTCCATTTGTTGATACACATACTTTTCTTTTACTTTTTGGCCTAGCCTAGCCCTAGGGCTATGGCCTATACTCTCTCATACTGAGCGTCTAAGCTACGGCACATCACTTTTGGAGTGGCTCACTTAATGCGTCTCTCCACACAATCTCTCTCTGCCGCCTGCATAATCTCACTCATCACTGGACCGGCCAATCACAACGCTGCACCACAGGCTGTCTGTTTGGAGCCCACCTAGAGCCCCCCAAAACCCTTCCCCCCAGCCAGAGCTCGCTCGATCTCTCCTGTTGTATCCGAGTTCTAGCCTTTCCTTGCCCTGCTATACCCAAGCACAGGTAATTGAGTTAACATAGAAAACCCCCCCCAAAAAACAGGGATCCCAGTAAGGTCTCGCTGTAGTCATGTTCTACTGAATTACAATGGCGATCAGCAAAGAACGTTAGTGAATTTTTATGTATTTTCCTTGGTCTTTCCCAGGGCAATAGACAGATTTCCTCAAATTCCGGGTCTCGTCGATTTTTTTTCAAATTCCTGTAATTCCCGGGTCCTGGCAGTCACCCTGCAGAATCGCGAAGTCGGTGGCTTATCTTTCAAAATCGGTGGATCCGTAGTCTGACTAAAAAGTCGGTGTTCTACAGATTTTTTCTGTAGGGTTGGCAGGTATGCTAGAGGCGGTCTGTTCATTACCACTGTCATTGTGAGTCATTAAATCATCTGAACTATAGCAAAACCAAGACCATTTATTCTATTAGCAATGTCAATTTGGTCCCCGTTTGCGGGTGAATTTTTGTAATGGGTCGTTGCGTAGGCGACTAATTTTCTTAACTCCAATCTGCTCTATTTCTGGACCAATGTGAATGAAACTCGGCAACCAATCAGAAAATAGGGCAAACTAAAGATATGTGGACGTTGAAGTTCGTACACATAAATTAACCTGTACTTTTGGTGTCGGGAACACTTTTGTATCGGGTGTACCTAAAACTATAAATGATCTTGAATTTCAACATCGAGAAGGTAAGAGATCTATCTTTCCTCTATAGCGTCCTCAAATTTGAACGTTTCGTGTTTAGTACTTGTTTAGACCCGATCCTAAAAGTACCACTACCCCCCTGTCCAAAGTGGCTTCGCACGGAGATCGGCCATTTTCCCCTCACTCTCTCGGCAAAAATATGTGACCTACAAATTCCCGCATGACTATTCTGAGCCCCTTCAGTGGTCACTTGAAATAGGACAAGGGGGTGCGCCCATCCGGTTGTTTTTCTCTCTGTTCCCATGTAACATCGCAATGGGGGCATTTTGAGGCGAGCTTATAAATCTCGCCTTGGGGTGTTCGCGTCTCAACGGGAAAAAACAATTAAATTTTAATTGCACGGCATGCTAGATTGAATTAACTTATATTTTAAAGTTGACATGGTCTAAAGTCATCAAAGAAAGCTTTGCCATTATATAGTCACGCTGCCAACATATTCTTAAAGATCCCATGTAGCGGTACGATGCTATAAAAATAAAATGCTCTCATCCCGAAACCCCTTTTTCGCAAATTCGTAATATGTACACTAAAATTAGGCAGTTTAGTGAAAATTTCAAATATGTCTGGTATGCTTTGAAATACTTCCATTTGAAAGCTCTTGCCTTCATGATCATAAAACAGTTTAAATTTTGTTGATATCTTTTTTAGTTAAAAAGTTATGGCGATTTTTCATGCCTAAAATCCGGCCAATTTCAGGCCACTTTGTGACACAAAAATGCAACTTTACAACACAAATGACCATTACTCAACACAAAATGCATATTTTTTAAAGTGTTGTACATCAGTTTGTTGGGAATTTTACACAGAATGCACACAAAACTACAAAACACCTCTTTACAAAGTCACAGAAATATTTTTTGGGTACTTCTAGAGGTTCAGGGTGATAAAAAATCCCCTGCAAGGATAACCCGAAATGGACAAAATGGGCTATATCTTTGCTGCTAATGGTCATATTTAGACAAATTTGATAATGTAAATGTAAAAATATCCAGAAAATAACAACATTAAATTATTAGGTGCTGAAAGTGAAAGACTGAGCAGAGGCTCAGATAAACTTTGTTCTCTACTACTATACTACTAACAAGTAAGTTTGCGCAAAACTGATTTAAGAAAAGGTTGTCTCATAAAAGCAATTGTTATGATGAGATTTATTATTAACTCTGAAATATATAGCTAGATGCTGAATCTAACATCAATTAGAACTGTGCAATTCAAGCTTTATTTCAATTCCAAAGCCCAAAGGCATAAATAGTTAGATATGCTGGCTTTTTTTTACTGTTTCTAGCCTACTACTGCTGAATTCTAGATTTATCTATCATTTGCACTATTCAAGAGCCAAATATGGTAAAATAAAAGCAAAACTGCGAATTCTTTTGTCTGTCTGTTCATAATTTCATAGCCGCACATATTATTATTATCCGGAGAAACAAGTAAAGCGCGAATAAATGCGATGCCGGCGCAATACGTTATCACAGTGTGCAGGGGAGAGCGGGGGCGCCGGGTCGCTGACCGGCCGTTTCGGCGTTTTGTATGCATTTTTACGGGAAGCGCCGTAGCGTTGTGCGAAGTTCAACCTAAACAAGTCGGGTGTCAAAAGAAACTAGAATGGATAATCTATAACTTCTGAAAGATTCATAAATATACAGCCAGTAGTTTTCATTTTATCGCGTTGTAAAAACTGCCTTGTTTTCAGATGCAAATATTTCCAGTTCTACTGAACCGATTTTCACGCAAAGACCGCCATTTTGAAGACCTTTCTTTTCTGTTTAAAAAGATGTATCGGGAGTGGTAGTGCAATTCGCAAAACGAAACAAAACTGTGAGTTGTTTAGACCCACCGCAGCGCGAGGCTTCACGGCCGGTCACAAAAATCTACGGGGCGTACCGCGGCCGATTCGTCCTGCCGCGAGCGCGTTCACTAAACTGCCTACTAAAATTTTAATTATTTATCAAAATAACTACGAAATGATTAGTAAATCTGACTGCAGAAATGATTTCTCCACCCAAAAATACATTGCGTAACCAAGTTTCTTTTTAACACTCCTATTAATTATTAATTACTGAGATATCGTTGATTTTCTTACAGAATCTGCTATTGCGTGGTCCACTTTTAGGATGTATTTTTCTATATACGTGGGTTATCCATATTTTGCCGACCTTTACAACCCCATAACTTTTTTTATTTACGAACCGAATCTTAAAATTCAAGAAGTATAATTTTTAGAATTGAAAATTCTTTCTTATGTGACAAATAAAAAAGGGCTAAAGTGAAAACTGAAAAGGATGGGGGTGCAATTCACAAAAATAATGGTTTGTGAAAGATTTTAGTGCCAAAATTATTCTCAGCACACAAAAAACAATAATATAATTATAGTACCGAAAAATAGTCTAAAATGGGTTTGGATCTTCTATAAATTTACTCATGCGACTACACACAGGGCGTTACAAACCGGGCTACGGTTGGCTGAACCTTTGACCCATGAATACATTAAGTAGGCCTACGGTAGGCTACTCTTGGCGCTCTCCCTGTCACTCTCACCACCCCCTCTATCTCTTTCCCACGGTAGTGTAACAAACAAAAAAGTCCCCAATTTGTAACATGTATTACTCTAGATCTAGATTAGATCTCGATAGAGATTCTTCTTCTAATTTCTTCATCTTCTTCTTGTTCTCCTCCTCCTTCTTTTTCATCATCTCCTCCTCCTCCTCATTCTTCTTCTTCTTTTTCTTCTCCTCCATCTACACCTCCTCCTCCTACTCAATTCTCCTTCATAGAGATCTTCTTCTTCTTCCATGATGAGCATTCAAATCCAAAATGAGTGAGAGAAAACAGTCAAAGGCACGAGACCGAAACCGTAAATTCCCTTTCTTCCCAGAGCACCGTAAGCCAAGGCTACTTAACTTAATCTATTCATGGCCCACAGGTTCAGCCAATTGTAGCCCGGTTTACACCCTGCGTGTAGTCGCATGTTAAATTTATCGGTGGCCTTAACCCTGGAAGCGCGCAGGCCCTAAATAAAGGGCGTGAGCCGGGCTACCCGGGAAGCGCGCACGCCCTATATATAAGGCTGACCTACTTCGACCGGGAAGCGCGCAGGCCCTATATAAAGGGCTTAGACGCTGACCCTTTTCAATGGAAAATTCCAGTGTTCCTTATGTGGAAAATGACGTAGTCAATTACAGGTTAAAGTTATAAATAGTGACCAATGACTTTGCAAGTTATCTTGACCTCGTAGAGCGTCTCTTGGCCGAGATATCGATCGATAAAGTGACGCTGTCCCGCTGAGCGACTACACGCTATGTGTTATCACTTGTTTCGCTGTGCTGATGTACTAATTGTTGAGTCTATCGCGTTCTCGGCTTTGCTTGTATTTATTTGATCGCTGATAATTTTTCAATGGCTCATTCTATCAGCTTAAAGAAAATGCATGCTTTTTATCATCCGTTGAGCCGTAAATGGTCATTTTTCAGTAGCAGGTATACATTTCGGGTGTCTCAGCTGTTTCCCCTCCCGCCAAACCCCCATGTTTACAACTGATCGGCGCGGCGGCGGGGCATTTTTTGGCGGGTTACTTTCGTACTTGAGTATAAATGTCTATGGAGTTAGGCCGGGACTACTTCTTCTGAAGAGTGCTGTGGAATAGACCTTGGTCTCGTTCGTTTTACGCAATTTAGTCATCTTACAGCCTTCTCACCAGGCTCATCCAGCGACCATCTCCTTGCGCATCTTCCACGGGCTTGGGATCGGTGGCTGGATTTGACATAATGATGCACGTCAAAAGGTGCAGTTTCAACAAACCTCCTTCTCGAAACTAAAATGAAGTGCCTAACAACCACACGGTTCAAATACAAAATAATAAGAAGTGTGAATAGAATTAGCAGTTCTGTTGTAGTTCTGAAGTTCTCGTTCGATTCTTGCAGCTGAACAAAAAAATTTACTACACAAACAACGGACACAAACCGGAAGTAGTTACGGTTTTCCATAAAACCATAAAACATCAACAATACAAAACTATGCCCCGTCTGTTGATTGAAGTTTTTTTTTTTACGAAATAAAAAGAAGAGGAGTACCTGAATCTTTAAAAAAAATAGTTACGCCTTTAGGCTATGATTTGTTTGTTTTCTTCATTTTTGTTCGCTCGTAAAAAAACAGGGAGCGGCAGGGGGGGGGGGGGTGTCATATATTAGTTTGTATTGTCTGTTACGGAGAACTACAATGACTAAGGCTAGTTTCAATAAAATGAGCCCAATCCTGAAAAATTGAAACATCTCACTCAATGAACACCAAAATGAAAGTCCTGAAATGCTATGTTTGGTCAACCCTTCTATATAGCTGTGAATGCTGGACAATCACTAAAGACAGTGAAAATAAAATAGAAGCAATAGAAATGTGTTTTCTTAGGAGACTGCTAAGCAGGGGCGGCTCGTGGGTCTAAAAAGTGGGCGTGCACAATTAAGCTATCTTAGGCTGAAGATAATCAAAGGCAAAGTAAATTGGATGGTGTATAATTTTAGGATCTTTGGGTTGGTGAACTAAATCTGTTTGTTAGCTAAACGTCAATTTCATTCATCCTGCATTAGAACTGAACACTAAAGTAATACCTTTCCTTTTACCACTCCACTACAAAACCGTTCAAAAGCACAACTCATAGGACGGTGACTTAAGTATGTCACGTTCACCTCCCTCAGGTTCACGGTCACAGAGTCACTAATAGCGACAAGACAATGAACCAATCACAATTCACTTAAGCACTCTGCTGGATTGCTCCGGGGCCCACATAATTTTGGCATGGAATAGTGCTCAGTCTATGGCGTTTATTTTTAGATTGCCTACTGTGGGCTATATTTCGGCGCTATTCGGCAGGAGCATATTTGAAATGTGCCGTCTTATTAAGATTAATGTAGCGCCAAACTCACTACAAGTGTCGTCATCGCTTGGGTTATCCCAAAGAGCGATTTATAGGTCAGGTTTCCACTGTTGAATATCCTGTTATGTTAAGATACAGCGCATGAACTTGAGCATGGCATAGTGGATGTTTTACGGCGCTATAGAATAGAAATGACAGCTATGGCGCCAGCGAGGGCCTTGTTTTGAAATAATATTTGGCTAGTATTTGTTTCTTGCGTCTTTTATTTTATTTATTATTGTGGGTGCTTTACGTCATAGAACATTAAAACATTTTGGGCGGCACTGCACGACCGTGCTCTATGGACGAATCGCGCCTGCTGCTAAGAGTATCGTGGAATTGGAAGGAAAAGAAAGCAAATGAGGTAGTGCTTGATGAAGCCCACGTGGGACGCTCAGGGACACCTGAATAGACATAGATCTAAGGGTCTTGAACATCTAGCTCTCACAGGCAAAATTGAGGGCAAGCGAGGCTGGTGTAGGCCCTGAACAACATACTTTGGGAACCTAAACAAATGAGTAACAGGGAAAGATCAGGGAAACGTAGTGCAATGGATAAGATTATATTGACGTTCTAACAAATTTCACACAGGGTAAGGTGTTCAAATCATCATAAATCCAGTTAGTGACCCCATTTTTTTAAATTACCCACACTCCCTCTGATAAGTAAGAACTACAATGTCGAGTCTCGCCAATCTAAGACTCCACTTGTAGGCCTACACCTTTGCCACAAAATTAAATATAGATCTATGTTGTTTCAAAAATATTAGTAGCATGCAGTCAGTCTCACCCCCATCTTTTCAACAAATATGTACAGAGCAAATAATGAGAGAATCGGTCCTAGATATATCATAGATGCAATGGGTGTGAAAATTGTTGTACGGTGATCTCGCCACACTTTTACAACAAAGGCTAAGCCTACTGCATACTAGGCCTATCGCAGGCCCACGGAACAAATAATGAGATATTCAGGCATAGAAGACATGGATTTCAAAATAGAAGGCAGAAGCATTGCTAATCTTAGACAGAGGCCTTGGCCTATATATACCGACGACGCGGTACGTATATATAGCCCTTATGTAAATCTAGCGTACACAGTCACGAACATGAGACCGGTCTTACACACCGAGAAGATGCTGCTAGCAATAAAGCAAGACTGAAATTCAACACCCCCTGCCCACCCTCCCCCCCCAAAAAAAAAGAAGAAAAAAAAGTCACACAGGATACTATGATAGGCATATGCCAGAAGCGGGAAGACAAAATCTCCAGCAGATAAAACATTAATGGAAGAAAGCTGGGACAACGACTTTAAATACTTAAAATTAACGAAAAAAAGCGCGGCTTGGAACATTCAGTAAAGATGTAAGAGGCAGAATAGGCGTATAAGTCTTTTTTGTCCAGATCCTGGCAGATCGGTTTTTTGTTTTAAACAACTCATCTGAATCGAGCCATTTTCTCGTTAACTTTACCGCTAAGAGCAGGCGACCCCCAATTCCTTCAATTGCAGATATTATCTTAAATTAATCTCTATTCAAGATAGAATCTAGATTGGAAGGTCCTATTTTTATTAATGTTTTAATAATTAAAAATTTTATGGACAAGACAACTGACATTTAAGGTTACTCTGTGCTAACCACCCCACTCCCAAAAAACAAACAAACAAACAAAACAAACAAACACACACACACAAAGAAACAACCCCCCCCCCACAAAACGACGAGCACTTATGGTTCCACCACGTCGTGACACATTTAAACGGCCCACAACCTCTTCTTTTAAAAGATACTTTCACCCAAATCAACGCTTACAGTTTATTCTATTATGTTGAATCTGACCTGAATTCAAAGCCATACAAAATCGTAGCCTAGGCCTAGCGTTTGGTTGGTTGCGTCTGTAGGTAGTTAGTTAGCGTGACCCAGTGACCTAAACCTAGCGAGCTGGGGGTTGTTTTTTAACCCTTCATTTTTCTAACTGTAGCGCATAGGCCGGAATTAATGTATCTGGCAGGCGATTTAAACATGGTGCATATTGCGTATCCAACTTGACACTTAAACTCTAAGGCCCAGGGGCGAAGCGTCTATATAATCAAATAATCACTGCTTCCCTTTCTAATTTTGAAACATTGTCGCTGTCAAATTCATCCTTAAACGTAAACCTCATAAATTAAATGTAAAAAGACGTTCGTAACCAACAACGAACAGTATGCCTAACATTCAAAATGGTTTCATGGCCACAGAAATAGCCTCCTCACCCCTCTCGGGCCACTCCATAAGCAGTCGCAAGCTTTGATTAAGTAAGCTTAAAGTGAGGCTGGAATAGAGTTGAAGGGAACATGTGCATGGCAGTCAAAGCTGTTTCATTGCCACATATACCCTGTTCACCCCTTTGGGGCCACAGTTAAAATCAATCACAAGCCCTGATTAAGTAAGCTAACTAACACTGGTCGAGTCTACCTCACAAATGTGAGGGGAACTAACTCTTAACAATCTCTTGACTGCTGCTTGTGCTTGTTTTTTTCCCTCGACTTTTTACCGTCCTATAATCAGATCGTGACCTCGATTATGACACCAGCTCCTGGCAGCGAAAGGCTAACAAAAACAGCCAAATGTGAAATTTAAAAAATAATAATTGTCATGTTCTACCAAAGAGTTAGACTCACTGGTAGATCTATAACATATAGATCTAGTACTGACATCTCTGCTTCTTTGCTTTGTGTTTATGTATTCACATCTAAAGTTAAGTTTAATTTTAGTGGGAACTGATATTTAATAAGATACTTTCCAGATTATTTTGGCGGTTGAACATACAATATGAATTCCGGATTTGTTTTCATTCACAACTCAAGAGTCGCAGCCTCGAGTAAGATTCTTGTGTGATATCTACAGGCCATATCTGGTCCCATTTCACTTTGATTACCCTGTCAAACAAGTCAGCCTTCGCCCCTGCTAAGGCCTAAGCGTTATATACAGGTCTTCCTAAATGTCGGTCTATTTGAAGTTCAACCGCAAAAGACACCCCTTTTCAGCTCGTTCACCAGACATATTTGTTTTAAAAGAACCGCCAGGTTACAGCGGATAGAGTACAGGAAGAACTTGGCAAACTTGAACAGTGGTGTGAGGCATACAACGGGAAAGTGCACCCAGACAAAGCCTATGCATTGTGGTGTACACTGAATAACCATGCAGTGCACGATGACATGCCAAGTATCTCGATTGGAGGCAAAGTGCTGAAGAGGGAACCCACACTGAAGTACTTGGGCATCACGTTTGATCGCACCCTCTCTGGCAAAGATCACATCACGAAAACAATCTCCAGGGCGAGAAAAGGCCTAACAGCCCTTAAGATGATGGTCAGAGCTAAGATGAGCCAGACAATCCTGTCATCCTCTACCAGACACTGGTACTTTCTGTCGTAGAGCACGGGTTAGGACTCTTGACCCCATCAAAAGAGAAACTGCAACGACTCGAGGTGTTACAAAATGGAGGAATGAGGGCAATCCTGGGGTGCACACGAGATACCTCAACTGAAGCAATGAGATACATGTGTACTTCCTAGACTTCCCATGTGCAGACGAGAGGCACAAACTGGCACAAGTCCAAGCCTTTCTGCGAGTCAGCGTAGACGAGACGAACCCTCTACATTAGAAAGTGGGACGGCAGATGACATCAAGGCTAAAGAGGGGCACAGAATGGATGACTCAAGCCACACGAACACCATCAACGAGTGCTGCCAGATACAAGACATTAGAAGAGGCAGGGATTGGGTTGTGGTCGAAGATGCGCTCGGACAGCACACAACAGTGAAGGCAACATTGGGTAGAGAATGTCGCAACTGGTCACTTGGAGCTACAAACGCTGAAATTGAAACCCTGATAGAAGAGCACAGCGAACATGGAGATGCTGTGATCTTCACGGATGGATAAGTCAACAGAGGAGTAAAATCGGGTTGGGCCTTCAGTGTCAGAGTTGACGGGGTAGTAGTGAAAGAGCAAAGTGGAGCAACTGCACTGACAACATCAAGTATGTGTATGGAGATAAAAGCCATAAGTGAAGCTCTACACTGGATCAAGAAC